ATCTGATATAGATGGCAATATGCATACTAAATAGATAGTGATACAGCAAAGTTTTTAAGTCATTGTGTTTGCATTTCTGCCTGTCAACATGGTGTATGACAAAATTCTTGTTTGGTATTTTTTTAAATGCTTTAAGGGGGGATGTCTGTATACAATTTGCTGTAAAAAGATGTATGCCAAACATGCATGTATTTTAATTATCGTTAATTTAAACAATTTGCAATGATCTGTCTTGACTGCATATCATAAGTCGGTATCTAACTGGACTGGCTTAGATATGAAAATTAGTGAATTTATAGTACTATACTATGGTAAAAATTATGTATACTGGCATATACACTGGAGTTATGAAAATAAATTCTTCAATCAGGAAAGCCAAAGAATTGATGCTTTTTCTAGGTGTCGTCCTTTTCTAGTGAAGCTATTTTTACTTTATAAGCAGGAACAGCAAAAGGTCAGGTGCTGTTCATTGGTGTCGTAGTTTTCTAGGAAGGCATTGGTTTAACCTATCCAGTCACTAAGAAGTGTTACAATTCAATTCATAAGCAACACATAAATAGTTACATGAAAGGTATAGCCACTGTTTGAAAAATGTTGAAACGAGAAATTGAAACTACATATTATATACATATATATATATGTAAATATTATACACTTCATAACTTTAACATTATCACAGTTACTGATTTTAGAATTTATTGAACTAAGGGTTCTTAGTGGTTGAATTGAAGTCATTCCCTTGAAAGTTTTTTTGTAACCATGCATATGATTGAAGATCAATGAAATATGTAATTTCCTTAATAACATTCATTTTTTCCAATTTGAACACTCTTGAAATGTGCTGTTCAGATCCTTTCGCAATAAATATATGTTTGATTTGTTTGAATTACTTCTTTTTTGTTTTTTATTGATCACTAAATTTCAAAAGTTTTCTGTCTGTCTTTCGATTTTGTTGATAGTTTTTCATAAATTACCCTGTAACAGCTTCTTACATACACACATCACAGAATGCTGCAGTGATCATGTGACAAATGTACTCTACGGTTTTCCCAAACAAGGAGAACATCATACAACCTCCTTGTAAAAATAAGGAGATGTGGGATGAATGCTAATGAGACAACTATCCACCAAAGTCCAAATGAAGTGGATGTAAGCAAGTATAGGCAACCGTACGGACTTCACCAATGAGAAAAAACCAATATCGTATAGTCAGATGATAAAAGGTCCCAACATGAAAAATAAGAAACAATGCATTTGAGAAAACTAACGACCTAATTTATAGCAAAACAATTTACGAAAAAGAAATACGACATACATGAACCAATTATTAATGACATCTTCAAATACAGGCTCCTGACTTGGGACAGGCACATAAAGACTAGTGTGGCCGGTTTTAACATGTGAGCGCTCAACCCTCGCCTTTACCTGGGACAGTTGTTTCCCTAAGAATTGTTAGAATAAGAACTGAATGGGTTAACTGAAGGACATTGGTCATGCATTTTGAAAATCTGGTTAGGGGCTGAATTTCAATTTAAAACAAAAGCCGGGAGACTTAACTCAGTGGCAGATCCACAGTTGCATATGGGGGGATGGGGGTGGACACTGACTACCTCAGAGATGGATCGCTCCAGTCATGCTTTCCTCAATAATCAACCAATTTTTTCCCACAAAGCACCCCCTAAATCCGCCTCTGGCTTTCGGGGTGGGGGGTAGTCCAAATACTTATGACGTCTTGCAAGGCTATTTTGGTTTTTTTTTTGGGAGGGGGGCAGCTTGATAGTTAGTCACACATGTCAATATGAAAGTGATCATAGTCGTGGAACTTGAGAATCGGTTTTCATTTTTAGATTTACAACAGTAAACGCTTTAACAGTTTGCTTTGCAAATTAACGCTTTTCTGTTTACCTATGAGGAGAAAAAATAGAGGTCAGTCGTAGACTTGTGGTTTAAAAAAAATCGAAATCGGTGTTAAAACACAACTACTGAAGTAAAGGATTTTGGCAACACCATGTTTGTATGCTCTACTGATTCGAATGCATTACATTGAAGATTCTGGAAACATCCAGGTTCGTATGCTGGCATACAGACCTGCGAAATACAACATTTGATTCAATATTGGCCGTTCTGCATACACCAGGTTCGTATGCAGGCATACAGACCTGAGAAATACAATGTATAAATTAAATGTAGACTTTAGCATACACCAGGTTCGTATGCTGGCATACAGGCCTGAGAAATGCAAGTTAATTTATTAAGATTCAGTTCAGCATTCCCCAGGTGTTCAATATGCCAGATTCTCGATTTTCAAATGTTTGATAAAAAGAAAAACGTGTTTTCCTTTATTTTTCTCGTTTTTGCATACGTTTGTCTTATGAGCAATAATTCGACATATTTGAGTACGAATTATGGCAAATGACCGTGAATGAGAATTTTTAATTTTAGATGAGAACGTATTATGTTCAACCCACCATTTTTTTCTTAAAATGCCCTGTACTAAGTCAGGAATATGACAGTTGTTATCTACAGTCCGTTTCCATGTATGTTGGCGTTTGCTTTTGTTGAAGTTCAGTGTTTCTGTTGTTCCGTTGTTTTCCTGTTATAGTTGATGTGTTTCCCTCGGTTTTAGTTTGTTACCTGGATTTGGTTTTGTTAGTCGAATTATGACTATTGAACAGCGGTATACTAATGTTGCCTTTATTTTTCTCTTATTATGGTTGTATAAGTTTGAACATGTTCATCCGTCTCGTAAAAACGAATGGCTGACTACTGTAACTAAGAAGATACACTATTATTTTAACATCAAATTATTCACAGATCAGGTCTGCACAGTTTTTACTAGCAGTTCAATCTATTGACCATTTTACTCTCATAATATCCCTGAAAAATGAAAACAATACGTTACAAATTTAATGCGTCCGAAGCGTTTTTCTGGATTTACCTTCATCAGGAACGCTCAAAGCCGATTATTTGAATGCCAAGGATGTATTAGAACCGAAACAGTTGAAGAGCTATATGACTAAAAGTACCTAAAAAATAGCCAAATCTATCTAAGGTCAACTTTCCCAATTTTTGCCTGATGGTGTTGAAACCTTAGTTTCTTAAGTAGTGTAGACATACCTTCGACACCTGCTAACTGAAAACTACGAAATTTGAAAATAAAATAGTTCTTACATTTCAATCGTATATATACTATTCGTGTAAACAAGTAATTTACGTCCTTACTTGCATTGGTTGCTATGTTTGTTATTTTAGTTTTCGTTTAAAACAACTCGTTTGATACGTCCGTGTCATTATTTGCCTTTCCAGATTTCATGCACGTAATATATGTGCTACTGGTAAATGTTTACGACAGAGATTTCGTAACAACTGAATTTGAAAATTTGTTTTGGCGGAGCCAACTTTGATAAATTATTAGATATTTGGTTATTTAAAAAGATGTACGTTAGAAATATGTAGTACAAATGCTACCCCTTAATAGATCGAATGTAGTGCATAAAATTGCAACCTAAACTATACATTTTGTTCATGCAACTGAAAAAAACCTTTTAAATTGAAAAATAGTTATTGCTCAATTATCTATCGATGTTGATATAATTTGAATGTCCTATCTTTGTAACTTTTCCTTTCATATTTTGTATATTACATTTCCTTGTATTACCCCCACTTGGTCAATGTTCAGAAAACGGAAAATGTTGTGAAAACTAAGGAATTTTCTTTATTTTTTCTTTTTGTGCGTTCCAGTGCGACAGTTTTATTGTTTCAACTCGTAGTTTTTCCTATGATCATAATGAATATCAAGAGCTGTCATCCGTACACTATGGAATTGACTTCATGTATTTTAGGACCAAAAGTTATTTGGGAGTAAATTTCAGTAGTCTCCAATAAAGAGCAGCTTGTGTGGTGGTTCAAATTTTTTTATAAGCTATATTTTCTTCAGATAACAATTTTAAAACCGTAAATAAAGTAAATTCCACCCAATTACAAAACTTCTTATGCCAATACATTAAGTGAAATGAAAAAAAAACGATAGGTGATAAGGCTTAGTTAGGCTGAACTTTTGTTTTTTTGTTTGTTTGTTTTTTCGGCTTCTTGATCAGTTCTTCAACATTTGTAAAAGGTTTATGACTTTCAAATAATACCGTATCAACCGTTAGTTTAATGTAGTGTATCTGTCAAAATCAATCAAAACGGTTCTAAGAAATTATGTAAATTCAATGTAGATAGTTGACCAATAACTATGCAAGTAAATCAGACCCTTTGAATAAATATTAAGAAAAAATACCACTTCAAAATCATGCATAGAGTTTGTTTTTTTTTTTTTTTTTTTCTTTCTTTTATATTAATGCCACTTGGTCATATGGAATGTTTTATATATTTCTAATTATGCATCTTTGTAGCGTAACATCTGGCCTTTTTTTATTTTCCAAGGTGAATAAGTGAAAGGAGATGTGAACGGTATAGAAGTTGAATGTAATAATGTAATGCATTATATTCCCATTTTGATAATTAATGTCTTTACAGTTCATACCAAAAAAAAAAGAGGAAACATTGGAAACCTAGTACAAACGGTAAAGTGCTGATCAAATAAAAAAGATCTAATTTTGAATTTCATTCAATTTGATAAAATAATAATTTTTGTCTGACTGAATTTGATATTTGCTTTGGCGGAACCAACTTTGCAAAAGTATAAGATTTCTGTTTTTTTTTTAAAGACGTACTTTAAAAATACAAATGTTTAAATCGTGCATACATTTTCTACTTGCGACTGAAACATCTTTAAATCTGGAAAATTAGCTCGATTATTTATTTTGGTTAATCTATTTTGAACTGCCTATGTACATATAACTATAATTGTAACTTTTCCTATCATATTTTGTATATTACCACTAATCTAATATTTTTCAGACTCGCATTCTGTATTATTCGATGAATTACTATTAGCCAACACACCGACAAGAATGTTATTTAAATTATACAACTCAGTTTCTTACTGATTTCAGATCAAACGAGCAATGAAGGGTGAGACAGTGATACAAATTGACACCAAGTTCGTCGAAGAACTACAGAAAAAACCCGTTGAACACGTTTTGGCAGTCTTGAATTTTGAAATTGATCCGAGATCTTCATCAGTTATAACACCATCAAAGAACGTTTGTTCACTTAAAGGCATGTGCTATCTTTTTGCGTACCTTTAATCTTATCCAGGAGAGTTTTACATTTACTATATGACAAACAGCTGTATATGATTTTGTTTCTCCTTACAATTATTTCGATTGAAAAATAATTTTTAAATCGCCTTTTTTCTATTTCGTCACCGGATTATTGCGGTAATAGTTTGACATTACACAACTGCTATGAGATGAAGCAATGCTTCATCCCCTTATAGGAAGTCATCTTGTTCCGGTTGGTTGACGGAGTGTCCATGTCAATGGGGCTTGGTCCATCTATACCAAGTGTCGTCGACAGGGCCTGAGGTTAAATTTCCCTTTGCTGAGTACTTGACTCCCAAGGGCCAAATTATTTATATATTTTATCAATAAAAAATAGAAATTAAATAATCTTGTTGTCAGCAGCAAACTCATTGATATACTATTGGGTTATACTGGATTGTCTGTTTCAATCTTATAGGAATGTCCAAGTCTGAAGATCACATATAATTGTCAAGGTTGTCATCACTGCAGGAGTATGTTAAGGAATAAGTTACAAATACAGGGTATAAAAGAATACCAGAGAACACCTAAACAAGAGATCTACAAATACAGGGTATAAAAGAATACCAGAGAACACCTTAACAAGAGAACTACAAATACAGGGTAAAAAAGAATACCAGAGAACACCTAAACAAGAGAACTACAAATACAGGGTATAAAAGAATACCAGAGAACACCTTAACAAGAGAACTACAAATACAGGGTAAAAAAGAATACCAGAGAACACCTAAACAAGAGAACTACAAATACAGGGTATAAAAGAATACCAGAGAACACCTAAACAAGAGAACTACAAATACAGGGTATAAAAGAATACCAGAGAACACCTTAACAAGAGAACTACAAATACAGGGTAAAAAAGAATACCAGAGAACACCTAAACAAGAGAACTACAAATACAGGGTATAAAAGAATACCAGAGAACACCTAAACAAGAGAACTACAAATACAGGGTATAAAAGAATACCAGAGAACACCTTAACAAGAGAACTACAAATACAGGGTAAAAAAGAATACCAGAGAACACCTAAACAAGAGAACTACAAATACAGGGTATAAAAGAATACCAGAGAACACCTTAACAAGAGAACTACAAATACAGTATATAAAAGAATCACCAAGAACACCTTTTAAAAGAGGAGTTCTAACAAAGTCACAGTTTACGTAATCATGAGGTCACCTAAACAAGAATCAACTAGCTAAACAAGGTACATGAATCATTATCGATAAACCACAGAAAATGAAATGCAGACTCAACAATGAATAAAGTCATTACTTGCTGCATCTATCGAATCGTAAATGTCATAGTAGCTACTGTGTAGTCATGGATTTCAGCTTTTCTGTTATACCCCTAAAGTCTCTGGAGTCGTAGAATAACCCCTAGCTTTAATACACTTTTTTCATTCTTCAAAATAATGTTATTTTGTGTTTTATACTTACAGGTGATTTATATCTGATTAAGAGTGAATATCAAAAGTTAATTAAGCATTATAATTAAGTATTTGAACTTCTTCAGATCAAATTTAAAGCTCTAATTTGTTTAGAAAAGTTGGATATGTATAATATGAGAAACAAAAGAAAATAGGATAAATTAGACCTCTGATTCCTTGTATTGGTACTTGAGATACATCATTTGAGTTGATTTGATTTCTTTATTAAATATAAGGAGATGTTGTATGATTGCAAATGAGACAACTACCAACCAGTTCATCATGATGTTGAATGATGTAAACAATTATAGGCCATAGTATGGCCTTCAACAATGAGAAAAATCCATACCGTATAGTCTGCTATGAAAGGCCCCGAATTGAAAAATGTAAAACAATTCAAACGAAAAAGCAAATGACCTAATATTTAACAAAACAATTATTGAAAAACAAAGTTGACAGACATGAACGATTGACAACTACTGAACCAAAGGCTCCTGACTTGGGACGGACACTTAAAGAATGTTACAGGGTTAAACATGTTTGTGAGCGCTCAACCCTCCCCTTACATGCAGCTAGGACAGTGGTGTAACGGATCAACATAACATCAAACTGTAAAAATCAGTTGCAATTAGCTTAACTCAAAAAATCGGTACGAGGCACAAAAACGACTAACAAAATAACAATAAACACAAAGCACCGAAATAAGAGTACTCGCAGTTAATGAAAACTAGTTCAAAGCCAATTACAAATAATGTTCTTCCAGACTAAAGTATCAATCAGTACGCATCCAACAGAATTAGTGTACAGACTTCATAAACAGGCTGAGAAACGCCTGACCTTGTACAATACCAACATGTACCTAAACAATCTAGGCAGATAGTAGGATCATGAGTTCTCATAACTATACATGTATATCAATATATATCTAGTTATATTTGAACTTTTCAAAAACAAAAGCAATGTTAGTATCGATAAAATAAATTTTCAAAGTTTTGACTATTGTGTTTAATTGATAACCTTTAAGAATATGTTGATTCAAAGGATCAATTAGTTTACAAAATGAATCTCATCTAAATATTGTGGTTTTATGATAATAATCATTGACGTAGATATTAGGATGTGATATTCCATTATTTCCATATGCTAGATTACAAAAACTAATAAGAAATTCGAAAATAGAAGTAAGAGAATTAGTTAACAACACAAAAAGACTTCCGTGTAGTATTTACGTCATACCACCACCACCACATTGTTGGCTGCTTTGTCTGTCGGTACGAAAACAAACTGCCCTAATAATTGGGTGTGTACATCCTGCGATAAGGATTATCATAAGCAAAGTGCATGTCCGGAGGCTGACCTTTTTGAAAAAAAAAACAGCAATCTGATATTAATGCAAAATTTAATGACCCTTCTAAGACTAATACACAACTGGATATGATTATTGTTCTATAAATATCTAAATCCTGTTTTGTAAGCAAAATGATGTGCAAACTATCCTACGATTGAATATATCAACGATCAAATTCCAGGTGTAATATGAGAAAATGTTTAACACAAATTCACATCTCTTATAACTGGGTTCTTATTTTGAATTTACATTTATGCCACATGCAATATTGTATGTCTTAATTCCAAATGTTACAGTGTCAACTCCTAGCTGTTGAATGCCACATCTCTTTGCAAAAGACACACATGCCGTTTTTCAATAACACACGAAAATTAATGAAAACAAGATTAAAAAATTGTAATGACATAGAAAAACTAGTACCAGTCTCTGGTTCTGATAAAGATAGATTTACCGATGAACAAATCTATTCCGATTTGCCTGAATTAAAAAAAAAATGAACATTGTAAATAAGATTTTGTAGTATAAATTCTTGTATATTTTTCCGATTGTTCATTCGGAACTATTGTGTGCTTTTGAGCGTGTTTTACTACTTAAGTCAAGATGTTGTTCTTAATAATGACTCACGAAATAAAATCATAATATATGTGAAATATATATACTGAAAAATAATGTGTGATATGGTGAAAATACTTGTGATGACGCTTAAAATCAATGACAATTAATGATTAACAAGTTTAAATATGAACAATGTTCAAATTACTGAAGCATAATTATAACTAATATTCGGAAAAAATTAAGATAGTAACTCGAATTTTTAATAACTTCACTGCTGAAAACATAAGTTAAATACATGATTTTTAGTCTTATTAGTTTTATTAATTGTTATTGGCTTAGAATTGGTTTTCAGTACCTGTGAGTACTCTCAGATCTTTACTTTGTATCTTTATTTGTCTTTGTTAGTAGTTTTAATATATTGTATCGATCTGATGAGTTAAGCAAATTTTAACGATTTTTATATGTTGTTCTTATTTTGTGCTGTTACACCACGGGACTAATTTCTTTAAATAAAACCCTCAAATTAACAGATAATTCATATGTCAAAACAAAAAGAACGTTTATAAAACTCAATTCACTTGGTCATGCTGGTGTAAAAAGATTATACAAAAGCAGCAATAGTTGACTTATATCTTGCTTGTACTGAAAACAATAATCCTCCTGTGATATCAGATAAATTGTGATTTAATATTGTGTCATTTAGACAGCAATGTCAAGAAATTTAAAAGGGCGGGGATATTATGAAATAAATATTAATTTCTTACTTGACAAAAATTATCAAAACATAATAGTCAATCTTAAATAAATCAAAATAATTATAGAATAACAAATCGAAGAATTCAAATAGAGAAAAATATTCAACGAGTGACCGATCAACACATTAATTCACGAATGCGCGTAGCGCATGAGTTAATTATCAGTGTTGTTCGGTCACGAGTTGAATATTTCTCGATATTTGAATTCTTTGATTAGTTATTCTTTTTATTACATTGGCAAATGGCTTTTTTTAATGAAATTAATGTAGAAAACGTAAGGAACTATATCTTTTTTCTACGCATTCACAATTTGTTTTGATCCGACGTTATCGACGTCTTGACAACGCCTATTGTTGTTTGACGTCAGAGAGTGAAATAACCACGTTTATTTCACATGTGAAATTATCGGTTTTTATTTGACTTGGAAATCAATGTAATTCATTGCTACCAATGTAATAAATGATTAAAAACCCTTGATATTAAATGGGGTGATCTAAATGTACAGTTTTGGATTGCACAATTCGATTTCGCAATAAAAAAAAAATTAAAAGAGACACAATGAAAGCCATTCAATTGCTTATTTGTTTGATAATAGGAATGAGATGTCATCGAAAAAAATTTGAACGCAGTAAAGCAATAAGGGAATTGTACAATGAAAAAATAAAAGGGCAGTCAAATAAGATCACGTGCAAAATGGATTAAAGAGGGGAAAAGAATAGATCATACTTTGTAGGGCTAGAAAAATCTATGCAATGCAAACAAACTATTATCGATTTTAATATGCAATCAAGAATAAAATATTTGCTCCGTGTTGAAGGCCTAACTTTGAGATAAAGAACAGCAATAAAAGCGCTGTGTCTTTATTTGTGTATTTTTTACTCTGCATGTACTGATTTTGCGTCATGGATGGATACCCGATATCATTTCATGTATGTTCATGATAGGAGAAAGTACTTAACTTCGAAGTAATTTTCTACAAGGAATGCACACATGTCATATAACCTTGTTAAATTACATTGTACAATTACTGACTGACGCAATTGCCCAAAGATTAAAATTAATATTACAAAAAAGCATTCACACATATTATATATATATAATGTCTAAAAATAGCAACAATCAACATCCAATCTATTTAGGCGTGGATCAGTTTGTGAAAATAAACTGATACAGTTACTAAATTAAAATTATATAAATGTCTATGAATATAACTTAAACACGCTAATTAATACATTAAAAAGTTCTATTAGATTTTAAATAGAAATACGCAATA